TCTGATTCTTTTTTATTATCAATAGGAGTCTGGCTGAGTGTTTTACCCCACAGTGCCCCAAAGCTTTCATGTCTCCCAGTGCTCACTCTCTGGAACTGTGCTCTTCTGATCACAGATCACAAATTGCCTGACCACATTTGCTCTTGGTATAACCAGCTGAGAATTGTGTCCCTTAGATGAACTGTGGCTTTCTTGAACTGAACCACCATAGGCAGCTGTTGTTTGCCACCATCACCTGTCACTGGTGAACTGTTAGCAGGAAAGTGGAGCTGGCAGGGAGTGGTGTTTAGGTCTGAAGTAAATGTTTCTCATTCAGGAAATGTCATGAGCTTCCCAGAGTAAAATTCTTCCCATGCTCTTGCAATGGGCTTTGTGGAGTTCTGGGTTTTCTTATACTTTTTCCTGTGAAACAAAGGGAATGTGCTTATAGTTCATTGGTACAAAGTGAAACGGGATGGTTTAAATGGCCTTCCAGAACGGTATTGGACACTGAAACATTTACATATTTCTTTCCATGGCTTGGAGGAGGGAACAGACACTTGCACCTGATAGATGGTGATTCCTGAAATTGTACCATTACATTTAACTCTGACTAAGCCCCAAATAAAGCCAAGCTTTTATTGCTGGATTCTCCTCTCTGTGATGGGTAGGCTGAGTACTACAGATTGAAAGGTAGGAGGGGAACTGAGTTTAAACCTTACCAAATGACCTCTTTATGGGCTCATGCATTAGAGGAGTTGCTGAATGAATGATTACAAGATAAAAAATGCTCTGTGTAGAAGTACATAAATGGTTTAAAGCAAAACAAAATCTACCTTGCATTTTAAAGGAGATCTGTGTTAAGAAAATGGAAAGCTTCGTTTGAGCTTTAGAAATTTCCATCACTAGTTCATGCCTCTTAATACCAGAATTCTGGCATTTGTGTGATAACATGAAGGCTGTAGAATGCAATTTTAATTTGAGAGGAATGAGCTTTTCATTATTTCCTGCTTTGAAACATAGGGTTAATGAGCATATAGCAAGGCTCTGTAGTTTAGTGCCACTACTACGGTTCATCCAATTTAGAGAGAAAAAAGAAATAAAAGGGAAGTGGAATTAACACAAGAAAATTATACAGATGTGCGAATGACAGCTCCTGAATGCTTAGCGTGAAATTTCCCTTCAAGGTTCATGCACATCCTCAAGGGATGGAGCATTTTGAAATGATTAGCTCTTCACATAGTAAAGCCTTTTTCCTTGCAGTCATGGCAACAACTCAGGAGCTCTTCCCTCTTTTCCCATCTCCCGCACCTTGGCAACAGGAGTGCTGCAGGTTTTTCATCTCCTCCTGTTTGGCTCTTCGCTGCCCAGTAGAGATTCTGAGTTAAGGTAACTTTTACAAATGTAATGACCCAGCTGATGAGAAAGGACAGTTGCAGACTGGGAAATCAGATAGGGACCTGGCTTCGTTGGTCTCACCCTTCAGGTCTCAGGATGCAGCAGGAGAGATGAATTTTATCTGGCTTGGAGCCACCCTTGCTGGCAAAATGAAAACTGAAATTGGCTCAGATAAAATCTGCATTTATCCTAGGAGATTGTAGTAAGCAGTCAGGTTTTTTTTCTGTTTTGCTTTGGTTTTCTAAATTGTATATTCCTTTCTTCAGTGTTCGCCGAGGATAATGATTTCACAGTCTCCTGTCACTGCTATTTTTGCAGGGTCATTCTTTGTAGCAATCTCTCATTAACTCTGAAATTTGTCTGGGCGTAGTAACTGGTAGAGTGCTGGTTTATCCACACTACTAACTATGTTAGCTAAATGGAGACTTAAACCTACTTAGAAAACCATTGGGCTGTGGCCCCATTAAATATGTATATCTGTGAGCCAAGCAAAGCATTTGTGATATCATCTGGGATAAGTACTCTTCTGGATTCCTGTCTCAAAGCATTTATTAAAATTTTACTGCTTGTCTTGGGTGTGAATTTTCAGCAGTTGAAAGACAGTTATCTGGCATCTACAAAATAAATAGGGAGCACAGTTGGAGCAGGTGACTCATTTTTAGTATAAATAAAATTTTTCTTCTTACTATTTGACATTTGGAAAGAAAAGTGTCTTTAGCTGAAGGACATCATAGAGACATTGCATTCATTTACACGGTCCCAACTTGACCTAAAAAAAGAAGGATTTCTCAGGGCTCTCTTACCACACTCTTTGGTCAGAAAAGCCTTCCACAATTTTAAAATTTTCCTTTTTAGGACTGTCACTGCATCATTCTGAGAAAATATTGCAGTAGATTTAAAAACATGTTTTCTGTCAGTGCATTTCAGATCAGGTTAACATGGTGGCATTTTTCCCTTGACTTCCTTACATATAGGTCTAAGTCATAGTCAGTAGAATAAAATAATTTAAGTCATTTCCTGCTTAATGTAAAAGGGATAAAGAAGGAAAAATTAGCTGTTGCTGTTGAGGCCAGTTTAAGACAAAACCAGCCAGAACTAAAAAGAGAGCCTGGAGCACATAGTCAGTGGTGAGAGAACAAGACACCAGCGTTACCTCCTGCATTTCCAGGTGCATTGACTATCCCCTCCTCCTTCAGAAATGGTGTGAGGCAAGGGCTGTGCAGGAAATTTCTGAAGAAGGAGACAGCTTTGCATTCAGAGAATGGGAGTCTGACATCTGCCACAAGATCTTACATCAAATAACAAAGTCAGGTTTGTTTATGTGTATTTATATATCATCAGTCTTTGTAGTTGGAACAAAGACTTCAAAGACTGGTCTTGTTTGTATGGTCAGTGCAGAACACAACTTCATTACTGAGGATCTGCACCTTCCCCATAAACCTCAAGCCTTTTTCTCCTGCTTTGGACAGGATGCTGCTTTAAAAAATCCCTGAAATGTGCTTGGCAGTGTGAGGTTTGGCAGGAACATTAGCTGCTTTGAATAAATCAGATAATCTGAGCAAGATATTCTAGATCTATTGCATGACTGAAACTGGGGTTATTACTGATTGAATGCAAACCTTCTTATTTGTGTCTACTAAAAAGCACTATAAAAGGTAGTGGTAATGTTGCTAAGGAACTGTTTACCTGCCAAATGTATCTCTGTGATGCATGAGGTGACCATGGGAACCAATTTGGTGGCAATTATTTAAAGAAAACCTTGCAGTGAAATGACTATTGCATGTATACTAAATATTTCTGACGTTGCATTTAAAAAGCTTATTTCTGGGAAAGGGTATAATAGCTAGAAATCCATTTAGAGAGAAGGGTCAGCACACATCCTGCATAAAAAATACATTACTAGAGCAGGGGTTTTTTATGTATATTTTACAAATCATGTTTTGAAAATAAACTGGAGATCTGTTTTGGGTTATCAACTTTGTGCAAATTTAAGATTATTTGGTGTCCATTCCTAGGGGACTCAGTCTTTTGCCTGGTTTCATTTTTTGTGAAAAATTAATTACAGGTTGCTGTATTCCTCCTTGAGAACTTATTAACTATGTCTCTCTCTCCAAAGAGTGCTTGGCTCTCATGACATAAAGTGCCTTGGGCTAAAAGCTGCTGATCCCATTTCTGATTCATAAATAAATTTTTAAACTTATTTTTATCCTTACTGACATTTTCCACAAGTAATAACTAATAGCAAAACGCTAGGATCAATGCTGTTATGATATTGTCTTATAAACGAAAACCTGTGCTCCACAAGTGATTCCTCAGAGGTTGAATTTTACTAGAAAGATTAAGTACAAAGATTATTTTAAAGCATATATGTTGAATTCAAAGGAAAAAGAAATCACTTTTACTATAAACATTGAAACTGCAGGAGAACCTCCTGTTGCTTGATACAATTTTTATGGAATGTAGTTACTTATGAGTTGCCCTCAGGATGCCACCAAAGTACATGTCTTGGTGACATTCTACCATAAAGCCATTGTGGTGCCATTACCATTTAACTCAGTAATGAATTCTGCAGGAAATCTGAAATAATGGCTGGTGTAAGACCAAGACCAAGAGTGATGTCACAGCAGTGCAAAGTGAATTGGTGCCTTTCACAAAGACAAGTCTTGTGCGTGCTCACTTACAGCCCCTGCAGCTCATGCTGGGGCTTTTCTTGCCAGCACATCCAGCAATAAGGATATTTTTAAGGCCTGTAAGAACTCAGTTAGATGTATTCTTTTGTAAAACTGAAATAGATTTATGCACATAATCCACAGTGGGGCTGGAAAACATGTCCAAGTATAGAAAACAGGCCATTCCTGTACTTGTGTTTGTATGTCTGAAGGTATTTTAGTATTGCAGAGAAGAGAATCCATACAATTACAGTGGAAGGATGATTAGGTGGAAAGTAAGTTTTTCAGAAGGTACTGTTTGAATATCATGGTTCATAAATTCACTAAATAACTTTAATTTGCACTGTAAAAGTGAATTAGAAGTTGGCAATATATTTAGAATCTTTTTCTTTTATTTAGAGTTTTGAAAACAATTTGGGGTTTTTTTTTTATCTGTGTTCCAGTGACTTGGGTCAGTACCATTGTTACTTCCAAGTGGTAAAGAGGAGCAAATGCTTCTCTCCCAGTTAGCTTCAATGTGCTGACTTTGAAATAGTGGAGCAGAGAAGTCAGGTTCTCTCTTACTCTGGTAAATTAACATTTTTCAGTGCTAGAAACCCCCCTTTGGAACAAGATTGTGATGCGCTGCTGGAACTCAGTTACTTGCAAGTCTCTGAGCTTACCTGTGTTCACCATCAAGATGTCAGCTGGGAACTCCTGTTATCTGAGCTAATGTTCAACAGTTCTTTGTGCTAATTAGAAGGTCTGGGTTTAATTTATTTAACGCAATGTGTGTCTCTCTAGTGTACCTTAAAAGAAGGTATATTACAGGTTTTTTCCTGTAGACAGAGCCTCCGTCCTCTTCAAGTTTGCATGTTTGTTTCTTTGTAAGGCACAAGTGAAAAGTGATTCTTGTAACCACTGTAATGATTGTTTAAAGGTTGTGCTTAATTAAAACTTCCCATTGTCTTTCAGACACCCCGAACATGTGAAAACTTTATCAAATTGTGCAAGAAGAACTATTATGATGGAACAATTTTTCACCGATCAATTCGGAATTTTGTGGTGAGTACTAAAAAACTCCTGTGTAATGCACAATATATGATGTACTCAAAATAGCCCATATATTTAACTTATCTCAGGTTTAAGTTGTTCCATGCATGACAACTTGCAATAGAAATATATTAAATATACCATCAGAATGAGGGTTGTCCTAACCATGTGTGCTTACGGGTGTTACTAACAATTGTCTCTGACTAACATTGTCACTCAGAACATCATTGCATTCAGCGCTGCATTTGCTGGCATTCCAGACAAAGCCTTGAAGAGTCATTGCCTTAGCTCTTGTTATCTTCCCCAAGATGTGGGTGGGTGGTTAATGAACAGAAGGAGAGAGAGAGAAATGATAATTTGGATAAGTAATACTGTGGCCTGTTGAAATCCCATTCAGATGAAATTTTAGCAAGCATCTGAATTTCTGTTTCAGGTTGTGGCACTTGGATATTATCAGGTTATTCTTTCCTAGTGTGCTCCAGCACTGGGTGCCCATGCTTTCTTGTAAAGGAGTTAAAGAGCACCTTTTGTTCCTGAAATGTGTCTTTGGTAGTCAAAGATCTTTATTTACAGAGTTACAGTCCAGGCAGCTTAGGATATTGTATCTGCCCTGCAACTTCCTTTCAGAAGAATGAGCAACCTGATCCTGAAGGCAGAGCACAACTCAGAAGGAACATTACTGAATGTTACATTCTGTTCTGTCATCCTACAAAATGCTTTTTTTTTTGACAGCACTGTGTATCTCAGTTCATAGTTAAGCTCACAACTAAAACTGTGCTTGTGTGTTATTACTTTGAAACTGATCATGTCACATTCCCTCCACTGGCATTAAAGCATAGAATATTATTTCTGTAGATTCTGCATGTACAGTGATTAATACACTGTTTTGTTACTCAAAGATTAGTTTCACATGAAGATTTTTCCTACTCGAGCTAGTGAGTGGGATACAGATTCAGATACAAAAAATATTCCATATTCCCCCTTTTCTTGCCTTCCCATTATGTGGAGGGCTGGTAGCAAAATGTGGAGGGCTGGTAGCCTTTTCAATTCCAAAAGCAGTGCATCATCAGTTAAAAAGCAGGTTCTGATTCAGCACACAATAAAAAGGATGATCTGGTTAACCCATTTGAGATTAGTTTTTTTCCCTATTTACTCATAAAAGACCTATTATTTTTATGAAACTGCCATTCTGCTTATGGATAAGCAATGTCAGGGATGACAGCCAGCTGATAATAAGCTCCAAATTAGAAGTAATGGTTTCCTTGTTGCTGACTTGTCAACATGACACAATATAGAAGGCAGAAAATTGAGCAAAATTGGCTTTTATGGTTTGTATTTAATGTCTTTCACACAGATTCATATGTAATGCTGATTTAATTTTAATTCTGCAGATCCAAGGAGGTGATCCCACTGGAACAGGAACAGGTAAGGTTGTGTTTGAATCAAGTAAGCTGTTCTCACTTCATGGGCTGTGTTGTTACATTTACTTCCAGACAATTTGAAATTAAAATTTTTTAAGTGATGATAAGTGGGACATTGTGTTTACTTTAAAACAGAGGTATCCTTGATATATTTTTATGACCATGTTGACTATGTTCAAAATTTCATCTGATACATTCTCAGTCTAAAGCTTGGACACTCTTCGATGCAGAATTCATGCCATTTTTGCTTCCTTTTTTCTTCAGAAAATAAATAAATGAAAATTATAATGATTTTACAGCTGGTCTTCCAGGGCAAAGAATAAAGAAAGAAACACATTCATGCAAGTTGCTTTCAAATTCAGTGTTAATGAAATACTTGAGACCTGCCTTGGAATTGGTGATTGGCCAGACACCATCTGTTCTCCCAGCTAGTTGCCTTGTAATGCCCAAGCTGCTCTTTTTCTAACTTTTGGGGATCACTGCTACAAAATTCTTCCACTTGTTCTTTCTCCTTTGGTTGGAGATCTGGGAGCAGTCACAGCAGGAATAGTCAGGAAGCAGAGCAGCTGAAGGGTGTCACAGCATTGCCCACCACAGGAGACAGGTCATGTCATACCTCTGGTCACTGCTGTAAATTTTCTAATTTTCCTTATTCACCTTCTATCTGTCCACTGTGACTGTCACCAGCATCCTCAGCTCCTCACCTGCTTAAATACTTCAACTCTATTTATATTGTTAATTATGTGTGTGTGTAGTGGCCCAACAACTTTTCTTGTAGTGCATGTGATAATTAACAGTTGCAGGATTTGAGACTAGTTAAAGTTTCAGTGTTTTGATGGCAAAAACCCATTAACAAGAATTGTTACCATCTATGCTTGGACTGTCAAATGTGATTTGATTTTTTTATACGGAAATTTTGGTTCAAATCCCAAAAGACATAATTAGGAACATCTTTTGAAATGAGAAATTAAAGACGTGTCAGGAGACGGAAGAGATTTAATAGGTTGACTCAGACACCTCTCACCCTTGCAGGGTGGAGTTCAGATCCTGCTGTGGAATGAAAATTAATTTGCTGGTGTCATTCCTGCTTGTTTGTGCAAATGGCAGAAGTGCTGTAAAACTTCAGACTTAACAGAGGCAGAGGACTGGCATCACTGCTACTCTGAAGGGCAAAGCTCAGTTCCACTGGCTTTTCCAGTAGGAAGTGAAATCCTAATGAGCACAAAGGATGAAAATCCTCCTACATATATTCTTTCACTTAAAAGGAGTCTAATGACCTCTAGTATTTTCCATCTTGTTTTCCTCCTTGTCATTCTTAATTAAATACGAGTATATCACAGGCAAGATGTCTCGCAAACATCTGTCAGGACTATTAAAGTTCTAATGAAATGAGCAGTGTACACCCAAACAGACGTGGGTCTTGGAGATTTTTAGAGACTGACTGCAATTATTGTAGAGTCCAAATGGTACAAGTGTCTTCTGAATGGCTTTTATTTTTGGAAGACAGTTGAATTTTATATGTCTTTACATAAACACTTGTTGAATATGCTAATATCACAAGAAAACCTAAATGGGGAGCCTGGTGGACTGTAGTTTGCTCTTGAACTGTCATGCCCTTGTGTTTAGTACTTCAGTGAAGCTGCTTAGACAGTTCACAGAGTGCAAGTGGTCCGTCAGGATTTGTTCCTGATTACTGGATAGATCCAGGGCACTTGACTGTGAGGCAGAAATTTCACTTATGTGTCTCGAGCTGTAAGAAGGTGGCCAGACCTGAGGCTTGATGTTCCCTCTGCAGCAGGGCAGCCAGAGGAGGGTTCAGCTCAGCAGCACTGCTCTAGCAGGGCAGATGGAATGATGCTCTCCCGGGCTCCCATGCTCTAAAAATGTTGGTCCATTCATTTGTGCATTATTAATGTGATCGCAGGCATTCACTTTAGGAAAGCTTTGGAGTAAAGCACTGGGATTCAGTACTTCGTACTGTTTTTGCCTGTGGCCTATTTATTATTTGCAGGATAAATTCCCTTTTTTTATGTCTTCTGCTGGAAGGGATTTCGGTATTTTTTTTTGACTCACTGCTTCTTAGAAGGGGAAAATAAAAGATACACCTTTGAAATCTAAAAAAAGTCTGTAAGATTAAATGGGCTTTAGAAGTAAATAACTTGACTTCTGTAATATCAGAGAAGCATATGAGAACAGAACAGGGCTTTCTTCCCAGATATTTCAATTGGCAATAGGGAGGACTATTTGGAGGTTACCCTTTAAATGTCAATATTATAAACTGTTTCTATTAAAGTCTTTTGTAGGAAGACTTCAGAACAAAAAGAACATGCTTTGTTTCCTCATTCACACAGAACCTTCTGCTTTAACTGATAATTTCTAGCTAAGAGATTTGGCCTTTTTGTTTGTTTTTTGAAAAAAAACAAAAAAAAACTTTTCTAAACTGATACATGGAAGATGCATTAAACCTCTATATATTCTTCCTCTATTTATTTAATTATTCCTGTTCATTATTTCAGGAACTAGAACAGACTTGTTTGAATATCTTCCCACCTTTTGGTTTCTGTCATCTGACATTCATCCCATGTGTCAGGGTGTCAGGTTTACAGTTGCAGCCCCCAGAAGCTGAGATGATCACCCACTCCATTGCTAACTAAACCCAGGACTGTTCATCTTCTGGGTGGATTTGGGCACAATCAGTACAACATGACAGAAGGTTACTTGTTATACATACACAGACTGTAACTGTGCTTTGGCTCACCTGGATTAAGTGTGCTTGTGTTTTAGAAACAGTTCACAGAAGTAAATGCCAAGATGGTTGTCACTGACCATCTTCTCCCAAGGCTGCTCCGGCTGAACTGTTCTCTCTGGAAGCAGCCCTGAGCCTTGCTTTGTTGTTTGTTATTCAGCTCCCCAGTATGTCCTTTTTGATTGGATTGTCGTAAATGTGACCCAGCAGACACATGAAGGACAGCTAATTCCTGGTACTCAGCTGTTAACCTTGGAATGGAGAAGAGTGGAAATTAGCATTATGGCATCTGGGAGTTGAGATACCACCCTGAGAAGTGAGTGGGGAATGGAGTTTTACCTAGCATAGCTGTCAGACCTGCACTGCCAGAGCAGTCAGATATACATCCTGCAAGAATGACACTGATTTGGAGCGCCAGACTCATTTTCCTAGAGCCTTCACCTTTATGTTTCATAAGACCACTGGGAGAAATTTTATTGTGGTGCAGCAGCTTATTTCTTCTCTAACAAAATAACCAGCCATAGAGGCAGTATTCAGAGCAATAAGCTGAGTCATGGTCATTCTTTGTAATGATTAATTATTTGAAAATTAATTTTAGATTTGTGACGTATCTCTTTTCCTGCTGTTCATAACAAGTAAGTGGTTGAACACTGTGAGTAATTCTAACTCACGGTCGTGCAAGTGGAGCAGCTGTTCTGTATTTTCAGTGTTCCAAATAATAGAAGAAAATTTGCATGTAGAAAAAGTAGGTTTAATATCCTAACCCTTTTGTATGAAAAAGGGAATATATGCAAAGCATCACATTTTCAAAACAGCGCAGGTTTTTTTCAGCTACTCTTTCTTGCAACCTGTTGGAAGGTCTCATGAATCAGCCTGTGATTTATGAATCCAGGTGGGCACAAAGGAGGCACATTATAGCTGTAAAAGTCCAAGATGAAATACTACTGGTAGATGAGAATTGCATTTTGTTTGGCAGCAAGAAGAGCTCCTCTGAAATGTCAACAGCAAAGGACTCTGGACAAACTTGATCAATGCAATGTGATTTCCTAAGATGGCAAGTTCCTTAACTGTACCAGTTTTAGAGCCCATTTTCTTGCATGATTGAAGCACAGCAAAAGCAAGAACAAGACCTTTTTATCTAGAATATACTCCTTTTAATCTGTAAATCCACGCTCGAGTTTGTGGGGTTGAGTACCATGTGCTCTTATCTGAGAGGAGAGAAGCACTTACTGCCTGAGCTAAGGCTTTCATATTTGCAAAATGATTCCAGAATCTCACTTGGAAGGAAAGCTCTACAGAAGTGTCAGATGTTATTATGTGCCTCGTTGTTCCAACTGACAAGAAGAAAATTACAGAAAGTATGCCATCATTTTTGTGAATCAGAACCCTCCTACTTCCTTACCACTGCTTAGCAGTTTTTAAGCCAGAAAAAGGAAGGATTTATTTAAAATCACTACTGTCGTGAATGATGATTCCCAGCCCACACCTGGCTTTTGGAATGCTACATTTCTGAAGCTTTAGATGCATCTCTCAGCTCTTTGCAAGAAAGTTGCACAAATTCTATGATTGTACCTCAAAAAAACCTTTTACATGCTTTTAGTAGGGACAAAGACTACCAAAGAGTAATCTGGTTTAGTTCAAAAGACAATCTGAAATTGTGGCTATTTTTCTGTGTAGTTGCTGATGTGTGACTGCTTCAGATGTCAGTTTAGATCTGTTCACCTGTTTACTATCAGTGCAGGACTGAATAACTAACCATGCTTCAGTACAAGTTAAATGTATCTTGCCACTCTGGATAGCCACAGAAATAATTAATGTTCTTTTCTAAGAGCTGTGTGGTCTGTTTCATTTCAATTCTGTGTGAGAATGAGTTAAACACATCTTTAATTTAAGAGAACTTTTTTTAAAAAGGAGAATGCGTGGAATTGTCTCCTAGCTTCCTGCAGCTTTGAATCATGTATCTGAGTAGGCATGTGATTTTTATTTTATACAGAATTGTACAAAAACTCTTTCTGGCTCCTGCAGGCATTGCCACTGTACAGGTTAAATGCTGTTGAATGGCACTGTATTTCTGTGGCTGATCCCAAGCACATTTCGAGCTTTGTGCAAGCAGGAGATTCCCATGTGCAGGCTGTAATTATTCCCACCATCAATCCAGCCAGTGGCAGTATGTGCTGGGGCCATGGCTGCTGCCATGTGAACTGATTTTTAGCACAGAAGCCCACAGAATTCTTTTCCAGCACTTTTGTAGCAGGATCTCAGAAACATTTACAAGTCCAGTAGGCACACAGCTCCACTTGGACAGAAGAGAAGCTGAGAGGGAGGTGAAGTGACAGGCAGTGCTGCCAGCTGTGAATCCAACACCCGGAGTCAATTCTTGTTTTCTGTGGGCTTTGCTTGTAGGCTGATGCATCAGCACTGGGGTGAGGGGTTTGCATCATCATGACTCCAAATATAGCCAGCAGAGATCTGTGTGTGCTCTGAAGAACATTTGGGGAGTGTCAGGAGGAGCCTCCTCTCTTTGTGGCACATACAGGGAGTATAACATAAAAAGGCTGGAGCCAGACACTGCCATGCTCCCACCTCCTCTGTCTGCATCCATTCTGCTTTCAGAAAATGTACAACCACACCTCCCAACTGTCTTGAGAATAAACTGTCTTGAGATACTTACAAAAACCTCATAATTATTAGTAGGTTTTAATTCAGAGTGGTTTTCCCAAGTTTACATTGAGCTCTAATGTGGAGAGTAAAAGGTAAGAATGTAAAATCCCTGTTCCAGCTGAGCATTAGGCACTATGCTGCCATGGCCCTAGACTGATGAGGGGTCTGTACTTAATCTTCACAGAGAAAGTCATGCTGGGTTTCAGTAATTTAAAAAATGTATAGATGTAACTTGCCATCTTCTGAGTTGTTCTGTCTAGTCCTGCTTCAAGCAGATACTTGAAGCCTGGAACAATTCCAGAGGTTAGCTGGAGTTTGATAAAAAGCACATTCAGGCTATTTTTAATTTAAGGAGAATACTTTGGGGTTTTCCTTGAAAAAGAAAAAAGTATTCTCTTTAAATTATTTTTTAAAACCAAACCAAAATAACAACAAACTCCCCCAAGCTGTGCTTGCTCTGCTGAGTGCCTTTGCAGCATATCCACTGCCCTTTGCCAGTCTGTGCTGCCAGGTCTCCACAGACACTTTGGTTATGTCCTTCACAGGACATCTGGCCTTTTAGGCAAATGCTGCACAGGCCATTCCCTGCTCCTGCTGCAGCTCCTGGGCAGACAGAATTAGCCTTGGAAAGAGCTGTATGGCAGACAGAGCAGGGGCTGTAACTATCTACTAAAATATTAGTGCTTATTTCCAGAGAACTGGAATGAACCAAACTTAGCTTTCATACATATGAGATTAATTCTGACCTGCAGTGCATGATCCAAAATGAAATCATACAAAAATAAATATTTCAAAACCTAAAGATCATGGCTCATTGCTCCTGTCTGCAAGCTCTTGGGTCTGGTTGTTTGCAGTGCCAGAAAGAGAGAGTCTCTCTGTCATTCACAATTTTTCTCTTTCCTTTTGAATTATTTTTCTGACCAGTGAAGGCTTCAGGCTTGATTCCACTGTCTTTCAGCAGCTTGGCTGTAATTCCAGCATCAGCTGGAAGCACATGAAGAGTGTAGCAGGCTCACAGGTTTGGCCACTTGCTGCTGTGTCCCATCTCAACAGACTGTGCTCATGTTCTCTACCCTCTGAAAACTTCAGAGAGCACAAACTCTTCTAGAGCTGCCTGCAGCTGTACCATATCCCTGCCACCCACCTCTGGAAAATCTTGGCATATGGGATCAAGCTGACGTAATTTAGCTGATCTTAAAACGTTCAATAGCCAGAGATTGCTGAAGTAATCACTGCTGTACTCCTGATTACAGAAAATCCCTACAGGGTTTGTCCCCTTTTGCCACCTCTTGTCAAACTGCAGAGCAGGAAACACTCAACTCTATTAATAGGTCTTTTGAATATGATTAATTGGGTTTTTAAGTGGGTCGGCTTCTTCCAGAATTTCTCACTTCGTTCCACTTGCAGCTGTCCATAGGTGATGCTTTGTTTTCATGGTATCTGAAACTCTTTCCTCATTTAATGCACTCTTGTGATTTTTTGGGTAAGATTTTCAGTCGGAGCCTGATTCATTCCTTGTTTTCATTTACTGCTTCTGTGTGCAGCCATATCATCAAATTGCTTTCTGTGCTACGTGTGCACATGGCTGTGGAGCACTACAGACTCCTCCCTGACCTGCTGCTTCTCCAGTGCTACACTTACTCTGGAGGGCTCTTGAGCCAGTTCTGCAGATGGACAAGCCTTGCTGCCTGTTTGGATAGTTTTGTTTGTTTTATTTTTAATACTGTCCTAAGGTGAAATATTTTTTCATGGTTTGTCAAACAAGATTATGGATTTGACTGTGAAGCTATGACTCATCTCAGCCTTCATTTTTCTTATTAAGAATGATCCTGAAGGAAAGTGCAAATTAAAATGTCAGATCTGTCATAGATAATGTAAAAATGACAGCCAGGAGGAGACTTCTCACGGACCCTCTCTCTCTCCACAGCCACAGAAAAGAAATCAGTTTTGGAGGGCTGGGGCTGGGGTTTGTGCAATTTTATCATTCTTTTACCTTCATTACATATAAGTGATAACATCATCCAGTTGTCTAGTCCTAATATCTTATTTTTGCCTTTTAATTTGGAGCACTGTATGTCATCATTCTTCATTGTTTAGTCTGGGATTAAGCATTTGAGCTTATAGCTCCTATTCTTAGTGGAGTCTATGAATGTGTTTCATCTCCCTGATATTTTATTTCCAGAAGCAATGTTATATCCAGAGTGCAATTAAACCGGTAACTCTTTGCTCTATGTTTTGTCATGAAGCCAATTTTAAAGATTTAATGTCTCAAAAAAGAAAATTTATGATGGACCAGGAGGAAAAAATTAAATCCTTGACTGTTCTTCAGCACAGGATACATAAAGCTGTTGATAAAGTGTGGTCTGTTGCAGCTGATAGTGTGAGGGCACAGAAATGTGTTGCCAGTTGCCAACACCAGATTTCAAGGTCGTGTTCAAATAATGGCCTAGAGATAGGGGTGAGGTAACAATGTATTAACACATAGTGACTGCAAGTGCTGGAAACCTTGAATTTAATGTTAATGCCTGTTGCAACACACAGTGGGAAGCTAATGAAAACAAACATCAAACATTCTTCTTTTTTTTTTTTTTTTAAGGAGGAGAATCTTACTGGGGAAAACCTTTTAAAGATGAATTCAAGCCCAATTTGTCCCACACGGGACGTGGTGTTCTTAGTATGGCAAATTCAGGACCCAACACAAACAAATCACAGTTGTAAGTAGTCGTTTGCTTTTTTGTGCTTTATTGGTTGCCTCTGGACATAGTCTCTCACTCTGTTAAGAAGAAAAATTACATTTTATGAGCTACTCTAAATGTAAAGTTCAGTAAAGGGAAATATTCTGTTGAGTGGTGCATATTGCAATCAGGGCTACAGCTGCTCTTAGCCAATCTAAGAGCAAACTGACGAATAGCAAGAAGACCTGTGGGTTTATTATATCAGCAATAACTTATATTTTTTGTTGTAATGATTTGAAGTTTTTGTTTGATTTTGTCAGTGTCCCTCCCCAGTATTACCCCTATAATTATCATCATTCATCACACCTCTTCATTCTGTTTAAATTTAGCTCCATATTGAACTTTTTGAAGGAATTAGATGAAACATAAACTCTATGGTAATATTACTTCTTTTTAGTCACCTGATTCTAAATAAATGAGAACAGTTCTGCTCTGTTGAAATGTATAGACCCAGACATGGCAGAGTGTACAATCTGGGATTGAGAATAACTTGGTTTCCAATGTACAAAAGCAGAATGAGGACTAAAATGAGGGAAAACTTAAAGATACTGAAGTTGTAATGGCCTTGTTCATGTGTAACATTAGTATGGGTGTTTTCCTGCAGTCCTTTAAAAATGTTCTGTGTCACTTTGGGCCAACTATTTATTGGTCGCTCTGTAAGTACTGTAATATAAAATATTTTATTTTATTGGGAGCCTCAGGAAAGGGAGAGTGTGTGTGTGTATGTACAGTACTGTGACTTGGCACAGAGGAGGGAGGGAGGGAGCAGTTCTTGGTGTTCATGATGCTGGGTACTAGGATGGGTTGTAAACTCTGCAGCAGTGTGGTTTGCTTTAATTAAACACAAGGGCTTGTCTCAGGGCCTCACATTCTTAGGCTTACTTGCATTCTTAAGCCTAAGCACATGTGAGCCAGTTTGCTGGATTGAATAGCTGTATAACTTATTTTGGATTTGAATGTTACTGCCAGCTCTCACGTGCTAAATTATGGGAGAGTTGAGGCTTCTTTCCTTTTTTTTTTTTAAAAAAAAGGGGATTCTTATAACAGAAGTTGCAGAGACTGTAAGTGATGTGCCATTTTGAGTCACATCATCTGCTGCTGTACATGTGATTGCATGTTCTCCTAAAATTTGCAAATGAAATATGAAATTCCTTTATTTGTAAGTTCTTAAGAGAGTCCAGCTGCCCATATTTATAAAGGTTCCTAGGCAGCACTTAGATAAATCCTCCTCCAGGCTTAGGAACTCTGTGAATAGCTCTCCCCTTAGGTGACAGGCACTACAGGGCAGAGGGACTGGGTCCCCCCTGCAAGGTGATGCTCGAATAATGCTCAGGACTTCCCTGGGACCATCCTGAGTTATGTTAATTCTGTTGTCTTTAATTTATTTTGACTGCAGTGACAGATGAGAAGCTTTCCCTGTGTATTTGCTATTTCTCAGAGTTTTTTTTATTACAATGCTACATAACTGACCGTGTGATAATTTTAATTATTAGATATCCAGGAATAAAGTGGTATCCCATGTAGGAATTTGCATTCTGCACTGCATCCCAGTGCTTTCCTAGGGCAAGCTACATCTTAATAGACTGTCTGGAACATTACAGCTGCTCCTATTTCCAATCATATAACTTCCTGAGGCAGTTGCTTATATGGAAAAGTGCTTTTGGAATGCTTATATATTTTTAGCTGTCTCCTATGTAGTGTAACAGATGGAGACAGGGAGGAAAGCCAGCACTGCATGTCCAGCCAAGACAGGCCATCGTGGTCTGCAGACCACAATGTGGAAACCTTTGTCTCATACATTTATAGTACAGGACTTCCAAAGAAGCATCAAGCTTTAGAGTAAAGTGTTAGTAGTAAAGGTTGCTTTGGATTAGTGTTTTAGTTCCCATGTTTAAAAGTACAGACCCCAGAATTAAAAGTCAAATTAATTACTTTTGACACTTTGAAGTATTCTTCTGGGGTGTTTGTATCTGGAGCATGAGTGTGCTCTGTCCAGAGGAGAAATGGATCAGCAACAGGCCAGTTTAAGGGAAGAGAAATGCAAAACGTAAATATCCAGAAAAGAGAGGTTTCCACTGGCAGAGGCTGTTGTGTCATGTAGCTTCATTTGCTGGATACAAGCTGCCCATCACGCACCAGAAATGTTCTTCCCAAGCAGGATGCATGTCTGTCTGCCCTGCGTGAGCATCCCAGGGCCTGCATGGCCAAGGAGGCAGATGCTCAGATTAATTTTGGACTTGCTGCAAGGCCCCACTCTTGAAGTGCTGTTTAAAAATGTTAGTCTGATGAAAAGTGAGAAGCCAGAACTCCAAAAATCTAGGTGGAACCCACAATACTGAGGAGTTAAAGGATGTTTGGTCCACAGGCCTTCCAGAGAGGAGCCAGAGAGGGAGAGAGGCTTGGCTTCTCTCCAAAAGTTTTTGCAGACACTTTGTGTTTTTAAGCATTACTGGCTGTTGTTGAGGGTCAGTGGGACAATGTGGTAACTGTTATATCTTTATTCTTTCTAGCTTCATCACATTCCGCTCTTGTGCATATCTGGACAAGAAGCACACAGTTTTTGGAAGGTAAGTGAAGGATATTTTGGGCAGCAGCATAGCAGACATTCTCCCTTGTATGTCTGAAACCTAAAGAGAAGAATCTAGCGACTCTTTAATTGAACTGGAGCAAAATCCCAGCTCACAATCCAGTTCTCCTGGTCATGAGTAGGTGGGCAACATTGCACCAATGCCAGTCAGCAGACCCTGCCTTTTCTTCCTTCTTCCAGTCACTGTAAGTTGCCTCACTTCCCTTCTGTGACTCCTCCAGGAGTCATGAGCAAAGTAATCATCATCATGTAATGAACCATGTTGAAATTTGTGCATGTTAATTGCTGGGACACAAGAGATTAGCTCTTCAATACTGCTTTCATCCTCTTATGAGCCATCAACTGAAAAATTAGTCATGACAGGACTGTTCATCATGGCATAGAGCTTCTGCATAGATGAGATCTTTTTGCCCTTCTTATTCTTTTTTATTTTATTCTTCTTTTCTTTTATTCCTGACAATGGTATAAAATCTGTATATTTATGGACACATATATAAAGATACTACAATGCCCAGACAGAGAGAGAACTCCATTCCTTATAAAGTCTCTTCTGAAAGTCTTTTCCAGCAAAGTCTTCACATGATAAAGATTAAGGTATTTATTGAAGAAGAAATTAGAAAATCTTTGCTATAGGTTGCTCTTTGCTTCCTCTGCTGCAGGTACTTGGTATTTACCAAGTCAAGCAGAGCTGTTCTCAGATATCTCTTGTGCAAGGCAGGAGTGGAAATGTTGCTAGCCTGCTGCACTGGGAGTTCCTGAGAATCTTACAATGTTTTTTACTTATAGATTTGGGCTTTTATTCCTTTCATGGTTCTATTCATTTGGAAGCCAGCAATGGAAAATAGAACCATGTGCTGTTTGATTGAATGTCATGTAATTGTGCTGTACAGTGAAAGTGATATATTTAATCCATCTTCCCTGCCTGCAACTTTTTGAGGCAGAAAGTTTATTTTAATGGCACTTTGTTTTAGTGCTGTTAGTTCCAATATTGATTCTTCAATAATTGCACTCTTGGAAATGTATTTCTTTTTTCTTTCTTAGATTTGTCCTAGAAAAAAATCTAAGTTCCCTTGTCCTTTCATGAAAGCAGATGAATAAAGCAAATTCTAATACTAAAAGCTGAGAGTCAGTAATTCTTGGAGGAGTTACCTTATCCAGATCTTAGGATTATTTCACTTCAGCAACAATTTGAGTCCACCTTGCAAAAACCCCTTCAAATCCCCTACAGTAATGCTGTTATCCTGAGCTGGCCACCTCATCAAGTAATGTCTGTCTTAGGACAGCTCAGCTGAAAATGTGCCTGGTCTTCAGTTCTGGGTGCAGCCTGACCTCAGTGAGCATCTTGTGTAGTCCTCCAGTGTCTCTGCTGTGTTTCCCCAGTGTGCTCCAGTTATATCAGAATTCACTAAGAAAGGATTTGGAGAGAAGCTGAGTTTTCTGTGGTGCAGGGACTGTGCTCCCCAAAGTCTTTGCACTGTGCTGAATATCTCAAGTACCTTGTGAGCAAAATAGCTCAGATGGTGTTTCACACTGTATGTTGCCTATAGAGAGGAATTACATAGTCCAGGTAAATCTGGTTAAGCATATATAGCAGAGATGTTTGCAGTTTTAGCAAAGACAATTTGTGAATTGTCTTTGCTGTAACAGAAATCTGAGTTTAGGTGCCAGAGTGAAGAAGTGGTGCTGCTTATATTTTTAGCTGAAATACAGTGGAAAAGGTTTATTAAAAGTGTTGGTTTAGAATCATATTTTGCTTCCTGCATGAAAACTGAGTGACATCTTCATATGAACACAGATCAGGGAAATTTTACTCTGATCTGTCTTGCATGTAAATGAAGATCAATCCAAAGAAGATAAAAATTAAATGCTGGGATGTATGTATCCCAGTCAGGCTGTATTAATCTACAGGTTGAATTCTTGAATAATTGAATTTACCTACAAATTTAATAATAAAAGGTTGATGTGTGTAGCTCTTAAGCTCTGTATTTTGTCATCAAAATCCATCAGCTGTTTTTACCTGCATTGTTTTTAAAAGTCATAAAAGCCAGAAGATGCCAGAGATTGTACCTCTAGTAAAAGTCCAACTTCAGTTTGCTATTTTAGATCCTGGGTGATTCCAGGATTTGCTGAGCTGATTATAGCATAATAATATCTGGGAAGCATATCTAGGAATAATATCTAGGTTTAAGAGCAGAATGAACCCATGATATCAGGATTCTTTGTTTCCATCAGTGTTTAATTGTATTGTTAACTTTGCTTACTGGCCTGTTGTGACTTTCATATAGATTTGAGGATTACTTATTTCAGTTCATATAAAAATTTAAATACTCTGATCAGAACTCTACTCTCAGCTCCTCCTGTGTGACTCTGGTCCTTGTTAGTGTCACACAGGTATCTCGGAGAGCACAGTTTGACCTGTTTGTAACTTGTGTAGAAGTTTCCAGCAGGCTTTCCGTACTTAGGAGAACAAAAAAGAATGAAAGGGCAACCATTCCCTACTCCTTTCTTTGTTTCTTGGTCCTTTGTGGGATAAAACATTGAAAAGTTCCTTTTCTGGAAATATATCCTATTCATGTCCCCACTGGTCTGAAACACAATTTTTATGTAGGAGAATATATCAGTGTCCACACCTGGCAGTGGGACAGTGAAGAGGTGACATGTGTCTGCCTTGGTGCACTGGAATTTTCATGTATCAGGAGAAAGGGTGGCTGGAGGACATGGAAGAGCTCATCATGATTGTGCTGCTCACTGTGGCAGTGATGAGGATGCTGGTACTGAAAAGAAAGGAGATAATCTGGCATGGCTGGGGAGCCAAAACAGAGAGTGAAAGCAGAATGCCTTCCCTTGGAGGTGTGTTGCAGGCTGCATGGATTTCCTGCTCCAACAGAGCTGCCTAGATTAAATTAGTAATTACCATTTCTAGTAATTACTATTTCTTCTGACTTAGAGAATGAGGTAATTAACATGAAAACCAACTGGTGGTTTTTGTGGGCTTTTAGCTTGCTGGTAAGAGGTTTAATTTAGAAACTGAGATAATATAAACCAACTGACATGCCCTTGCTCTGCAAAGAGGGGATGAGAGGCATTTGTAGGGGGCTGCTGCCTGGGGAGGCTGCTGCCCTCGGCTCTGTGCCTGAGTCTCCTTCCTACCCATGCTCAAAGCAGGGTCTTGGCTGTGCTGTGACCTGCAGGGGCTACAGGAACACTACAGCCAAAACAGCAGATAAGCTCAGGTTCCTGTTTGGTGTTCTTTATGAAATTAAGGTGCAAGCCTATTCCATCCATGTTGTTGTTATGTTTCCTGTTGCAATGGCTCACAGCTGTCATGGATCAGAAACCTGGTACATTTGCCCTTTATTAGCTGAAATAGAAATAATCTCTGTCCCTGAAAACTGTGTAAGTAGAAAAGAGATTGCATATATACAGGGAAGTTGTGACAGTTACCCATTTCAACCTACCATCCACCACCTTTGGAAAAAGAAAGCCTCAGGAAAAAATTAAATTGCTTCATCAATGTTTTTTGGGAGCCTGTTCCAAAGCTAAAGGCACACATGAAAATGTGCATGTTTAAAATAGTAGTGGAAAGTGATCAACAGAAGGAGAAAGATGCTTTCAGAATTTTGGGTGAGATTTAGGACAAGTAGAGCATGGTGGGCTTGAAAACAAGGGCATATTGCAAATACATTATGTGATGCAATAAAACAAAGGGCAATAAAGGGAGCAAAGAGAAAAGTGTTGTGGTCAGAGTGGCAAAGCTGGAAATTATCTGTACAGCAGTTCTGTGTTTTTATTAGAACATCACTTGTGTTTGTCAAGAGCTGAGAAAAGAAAGTGGCAACTGAGACAGGAGATGAATATGTCAAGGACATACTCCTTCTGTATGAGGCTGTACATATCTGCTTACGTGCTTAACTTTTGTTGTCTCCCGAGGTTTCTGCTGCTCATTCTTCAATTCTCTTGTTCCCAGAAATAATGAAGAAGGTGGTTTGGGAAACCTCAGGCTTGGTCAGACTGGAGGCATCAGTCAATAGCTGACATGCGTTCAGCTTATTCTTCTCTTTTCTTCCCTTCTTTCCTTGCCAGATGCTTTTGTGGAAATGAGTTCTTCCCTTGGATCAGTATCACTCTGTATTAAGTATTCCTTAACCTGTTTAATGCTTTCTACTGCAATTCTGTAGACTGGGGCAATGAAAGTAACTCTTGTCCTCTAAAATACTTAGCTACGTAAAGCAACTACCAGGCATTATTCAGTTACCCAGGTACTGTTGTATAGCACATTGTCTGTTTCCACTTGCAACATTCCCTGTATGATTTGAATCACTGAATCGCAGTTGCTTCTAAGCTGGAAAACTCATGTTCTTGTGGCTCTTCTGCTTTAGCACATCTGAAGATAGGAGAAACTGTGTGACAGCAGAAGAGCTGATTCTGTGTAGGGAGACTGACCTAATTTTACACTGCAGAATCTGCTCCCCAGACACCAGAATGGGAGCAAAGGGCAAGGTGGGGAAATGAGCCAGGCCTCCCTGTGGAAGCCATGGCTGCACATGAGTTGGAGCTGCATGAGGACTGCTGTCCTTTCCAAAACAGTTGTATGATCTCTGAAGAGGGACCTGTGCCAAGACAGGGAAGTCCTTTTGTGCCAGGTTCATCTGTTGAGTCTAGTTTCAATAAGCTCTTTTCCAAGTTGTTTTATTTTTTGAGCACCCTTTATTACTGTGTCCTGCCTGCTAGATTAAGCCCTTATGTAGCAGAGAGATGGAGACGTTTTGGCTGCATCCTTGTTGCACATTTTAATTGCTTGCTCCATTACAGATTGGGTGTATGCATAGAAAACATTTTGTCCTGAGTGTACGTGTTTGTGCACATATGTGTTGTTCCCTCTGTGTGTGTATATAAATGTGTGTTCTCCTTTTTATAAAAATAACCCTCGGTGCAGAATGTGCTTACAAAAGAGCATTTTTTTCTTTCTGTTTTCTGTTTGTAGTTTAAAACTTGCTTTTAAAAAAAGTCCAGACATTGTTCTTGTGTCATCTTCTGACCAGGAAACTCTATCATGTTGGCTGACTGCCATCCCCAGCGTTGCAGAAGGCTTAATTCCTATAATTCTTCCAAACAAAAGTATGAGAAAAAAATTCAGTGTGAATGTCTCTGGGCCTGCAGGGGAGATGCAGTTTTTTTTGGGGCAGCATTAAATGATGTACAGTGAGACCTTCATTGGCATATTGCAAATGATATTGCCTGCTCCGGATATTTCACTACTTCATAATACAAAGGCATTGGCAGTGGTTTTGAAGCAAGGTTACTAGTTTACATAAAGGACCCTTAACAGGAAGTAAGATTTTAATAACACATCTAAATGTGAAATGCAAAGATTTCCAGTGCTAACTTAGCCAGCTTTCAAGAAAGCAGAATTGCATGAGTAAGGGCACATTTTTGTTTTCATTCCTATGCTAACAGAAAAAAAATACCATAAATGTACCTGCCTTGTCGTTCATGCTTAAATGTAATGCAACATTTATCAAGCTCCTCTAAAAATACAAGCTGTCTCAGGGTTGCTGAGCTAAATATATAGTTGAGATCATAATTTCTGTTCAGCATCTACTGGAAGCACACAGCAAACTCTCGGTTCCACTGGTTGTTCTGATATTAATGGTGTTTTGAAAATGTCACCCTTTTCACTGTAGGGTGTCATCTGAACACCTTTTTAAACCTCAGTCAGTTTAGGACAAAGCATGTATGACACCTTATAAAAGGAATAGAGCCAAAAGCAGTGGAAAAGGGTTAAACTTGTTTATGCTCTTCTTCCTTCCCTGCCAAGCTGGCTCCCAACTTGGCAGAAGTGACATTGCACGATACCAGTGTGAACAGTCACTGTCTGTGCCACACGTTTAGCACGTGTTAAGACTATAAAGGGATGTGAGTTTCTGGAATCTGCATCTTCTTTTAGAGGATTTTTAAAATGTTTTTATGTACTGATCTCATGGTCTTTTCTACATATAATTTATTTGGGATTTTTTTTTGGCCCAAAATATGTGCTGTTGGGCAGGCAAAGAATCCCAAAAACTTCTCTGGTGTGTTGGTTTCCTCGATCACTGAGGAGCAGTTGCTGTGAGGGATGCCAGTGCATGGGTTTTGACACATTATATCTCATCAAACTGATTTTAGCGCTGCAATGAGCAGCAAATCTCAAAATGAGATTTGACAATAACAACGTGTAACATTTCAAGGGCCTGCATATCCCTTGTCTCTCTTAGATCAGAGGAAAGCTTGCAAAAGCCTTTACAGTTTGGAATATTCAATTTCTTTTGCATCCAGCTCTGACTGCCAGGTTAGTGTGTTGTTCAGTTTTTACTGGATGGGTGATGTTTGCAATCAGACCTTGTCCGTTTGGATGTTAATTTTTAGTGGGCAGATACCAGCCTCAGCTGGGCCTGACCCTGACAAAGCTCCCAAATGCTCCCTGAACAAAAGTGACTTGTAGATTATTTTATTGAGAGCTGACTGTGCTAACAGTATAGTACACAGAGATACTCTGTGCAAAATGTTGGAGAATGCCAGGGAGAGAAAAGGAAGCAATTTTCCATTTGAGAGATGAGAAGTGAAGAAGAGAATGACATGCTCTGCAGGCATAACAACTTTGTCTTCCTCCCCCTTAGCCCTTAGTAGTCATGTCAAAATAGACTATTTAGGTCATTTACTGATGACCTGTGAATGCCATGTCTATCACAGCCTTTCAAAATGTACAAGTGACAAAATATTATCTATAAAGTTTGATTAGCAAAGCAACTGAAGATCTGGTAGCATCAGTAAAATGCATTAGGGCTAATATTGTGGGAGGTCTAGCTATGGGCTAAGGGATTACTCAGCTGAGATTGCCAGTGCACAGCTGATCTGGCCATTTCAAATTATCAGAAACCTAATTAAATGAAAACATACAAGCAGATAATGAGTGAGCTGTTGGCTAGAAAATCCTTCGATATTAAATCAGAAGTTTCCTTTGAGGCAGTTAAAATATAGTGAATATATCTTGAGCTGGGTGTTAATCACCAGTATTATAAGTGAATCTGATATTGGCCTAGAGAGAGTTTTTAAAACTGAGTTTTTGTTACGAACTATCCAAAAGTCATACAGCATCCTCAAGTCCTGTGCAGCCTCCCCCAGTCTGCTCCCTCCAGTCACAAATGACTGAGGCTCTTCTAGCTTGCATCCATGGGTTTTAATTGCACCTAAAAGTCACAGCCTTATTACAGAATATCAGCAGGCCCTTGGGGAATAGAGTTTGGAGCAGCACTGAAACATGAGCAAGCACAGCTGTGCTGGGGCAGGTGTGAGAACACCCTTTCTATCTCAGTTCATTCTCTGTGGTGGGGTCTGTCCTTTTGGTTGTAGTTCCAGCCTGTCCCAGCCCACGGGGTGGCACTGAGGGCACTGGGGAGTGCTGTAGGAAGTGTATTTCTCCACTGGATCACCTCTCATGGCAGGTGAGAGTCAGAGGCCTCTCCTGGTGCTGGTCGGGCAGACTCTGCCATGCTGGGACTGGACAGATGTCTTTGAGAGAGAAATACTCTGGTATGAGTGTATAAAGTGTATAAAGGTGACTGTGAATATCATGTGTGTTTTGGTCAAGGCATTGCTTATTTCTTTGATATGAAAGCAGAGCTAGGTGATAAAATGCTCTACATATTCCACCAGTTTGGTATCCTTTTTTCCCACCAGCTTAATTTAATTTGATTTTCCCCCATTTCATCTGCCTATCCCTTGTCAGCCTACCTGTGCTGGTGCTGTAGTCCCAGTAACAGTCAGGCTTCAAAACAGCCCCCTGTAGAAGCTGGGCAATTGCTAGCTCTTGGCTTGCCCTGTCCCATGGGTAGCCTTGGACTCCTCAGTGGCCAATTCCTGCCCCTGCTGCTGATCTCCTGGTCCCCAACTCCCCTGGCTCCTGAAGCAGTGTTTTTGAGAATTACAGCTGCTTCTTATTGTCCCACAGCTGTTAGTATGGGCTGTATTTTTGGTTCCTGGCCATGTGGCTTGGCTCTATTAAAACAGATGTTGTCCAGCTACAGCCTGCTTTGCTAATGGGTCTGGATCACTCGGCATCAACAGCCTGTCTTCCTCTTTATTTACTGCTCTTCTAAGAATAGCTGTTTTCAAATTTAATTGTGGATGATGAGGTGGATAAAAGTGTTAAATACCCTGAGACCAAGAGCTGATCCCAGCAGGACCCCTCTGAAGACATACTGACTCAGTGGTTCCTGTTTAAAATTAGATTTTGACACCTGTCAGCCAATTTTTTATTTAATGTGTACTGTATTCACTTCATATCATTCTGGTTCCTCAATCAAAATATCAGCCGCCTTCCAGAAGTCTGTTCCATGGACACTGTTATCCCTGTTAACCACATCTGTTGTCCCAAAGATAGAAGGTTGTTTGACAGACACTGTTTTCCACAAAACCTTGTTGATTGCTGTTACTTACTTCCTTTCTTTCTTAATCATGTCCTGTCTCTGCTATTCCATTATTTTGCTGGGATAAATGACAGGATGACAGGATTATAATTATTTGGGTTTCCCCATTTATCCTTTCTAAATATGCTTTTCTAGAATGTTCCCATTGTTCCACACTTCTTTTGAAAATAAACATGCAATAGTCCAGAAAGCCTTCAGCCTTAAACATTTTCAAGCAAGTGTTTGAATATGTTGGCTTGAAAAGTGAGAAGCCAGGGATCTATGGCCCTCCTAGATGAAAACTGCTTTGAGAAGTATCCTGGCCTTATCCTGTGGCTGTGACTTGATGCTCTGCTGCCTTCCCAGAGCCCTCATGAGCTCACAGTTATGATGTTCTTCTGGAGGAATGCTGTGCTTTCAGTGTCAGTGGTGTTAGTGCAGACAGCTCTGCCACTGCTCTCCTGTGCTGCTGGAGTTACCATTCTCTTCCCAATAACACTCTAAGGTCTCATAGATAGTTTGAAAATGAAGAAGAAAAGACTTGTTCATCTGGCTGGTTTGTGTGGCTTCCAGGTTTTGGGCTTTGCTTTGCCTCTGAGAGTTGGACTTTTCTATGTTCTGTTTAATTTTAAATTCAAATCCCATATTTGAGGAAAAAATTCCAATCTTCCATGCTGAATGACATTTATTATCTTAGGTCTTCCAAACACTGTTGCTGACTCCTCTCTCCCCAAACATGATGATTTAAAAATCTGCTAGAGTAATGGGCATAAATGAGATACATTAAAGGTAAGGGTGTAGGAATATTTTGAGTATGCTGTGACAATTGGATAACATGTCTTTCCTCTTTTAGAGTGGTTGGTGGCTTTGAAACTCTGACTGCTATGGAGAATGTGGAAAGTGACCCGAAAACAGACCGTCCCAAGGTATGTGTGAAGCACTGGGGATAGAGGCCTCACATGGCAGTGCTGGTCACTCTGCTGACACTTCTTGAAACCAAAATAGGGGAGATGACACAACTTAATCAGCAGATGGAATTATTGTTCTTCTCTTTTGTTTCCAGGAAGAAATAAGAATTGAGACAACAACCGTTTTTGTTGATCCCTATGAAGAGGCAGATGCACAGGTGAGGTTGCTTGTTTGGTTGGTTTGTTTTTTTTTTTTTGAAAGGCCAAAGCTTTTCTGGGGAAAATTTTGGAACTTAATGCCTTTTCTTTGCACATGGGCAGCTCCCTGGTCCATCTGGTTGCCAGCTACGATTAAGCAGCTGCCATTCAACATTGCCTTTTTGCCAGGATCCCAGTTCTTTCAGTGGAGAGTTACTCTTGTAACTGAGTTTGGCACAGCTCCCAGTCCATCAGGCTTCTGATGGTTTCCTTTCAAATGTCCCCAGTAGCTGTGGGTGGCTGCAGGTGAGGAGTCTTGCTATTATGGCTGCAGAGAGCCTGTTTGTAGTGGCCCTTGAGGGCTGTCTCCTAAAGCCTGCCCTATAATCTCAGCAGTGCTGATTGCTGGTTTAGAGTGCTTTAAAGCTTCAAAGAATTGTAGACATTTTCTCCTTATTCTGCACTATCTCTTGCAACAGATTGCACCCTTTGCTTCCCACAGGTCGCTGCTGAAAGAGAGAAGTTCCAGCAGGAAGAAGAAGCAGCCAAAATAAAGGCTGAAGTGGTCCCACCAAAGAAAGAGGTTCAGACTCCTAAAACTTATCGGCAGGGGATTGGAAAATACATCAACATGGCTGCAGCGTGAGTTCCCTGTCCTCTGATTTTTGCTGAATATTTTAGGTGCCTTTCCTGCTGGATGGTGGCCCTGTCCAGTGCCATTATTGTTTGTTTTGGACCAGCAAAGACACCCTCATGTAGTTCTAACAGTCAACTGTTTACTTCACTTCTGTTGTTTTTCAAGGCCATACATTAACTGAGCTTCTCTTTTAGCCCTTGAACATGACCAAGCTGGTCTTTAAAAGCATTCGCTGACTTCAGAACTGTAGCTACCTTTGCAGAACTCAGAAGCCTTTGAGGAACTGTACTGTGTCACTTCTACACCATTTTTTATCCTCTTCCTTTTCTGAAGCTATTTCTGAAGGCCATGGTCCCACAGATGTTTCTGTTTTAGCAACTTCTGCCCTGCACAAAGTAGCTGCCCCAGGCCTCCGTCAGTTTGCTGGTCTAGTTCCCTGTTCAGCCACACAAACAGCTCTACCAGCACAGCTGAAATGGCTGGAAAGGGGAGCAGGCTCCCAGGCTTGCTGTGGGAGCACAGGGCAGCTGAGTAGCTCCAGGGTACCTGACTGGCTGGACAGGCTTATCCTAAAGAAACCTCTCCCAGACACCCTTTGTACCCCATCAGGATTGGCAGCACTGCTTTCTTTCATAAGAACAGTGCTGAGCAGCAGCTTAGCATGTGTTTTGGGAAAATTAAAATAAATGCCTTCCACTTGATTTTTAACAGACTTCTCTAAAAGCATTTGCAAAAATGCTCTTGTCTGTCTGCTACACAAAGGCCTGTATTTATGCATACACAGATCTGGGCAGCCATTTAATCAGCTTGTGTGTGCCTCTGTGACTTACAGGCATTTGCATAACTGTGAGAACAGAAATATGTTCAGGTAGGTCAGTTTAGTGTGTCAGTAAAATTTTTCAGTTGCAGAATATTGTGTGTCCCTTAAAATACTATGTGCAGCTTAAAACTCCTGACACACTGCACTCTTACTTATAGAGGAAATCCAGCAGTTGTGCCTCTGTGGAAAAGACCAGGTAGTATAGGAAGGACCTCAGTCATTGCAGCCTACTCTGTCATATTTAAGGTTTGGTGTTCTCCCTATCAGCTGCTTATATCCGACAAAAAAACTACAGCACGTGAGCTGGTGGCACAGCATTCCCTGGGGTTGCAAGTTCTGCTCAGGAGAGGCTGATAATAATAGCAGCAACTGCAATAGGCTGGGCTCAAGGAACAGGAAAGATTGGAAGAGCTCTCCCAGCTGCTTTATACCTAATTCCCTGTAAATCCTTTTGCTGTCACAAGGGCAGGTGAGAAGGTGTTTGGAAAACTCATGGCTCATGTTCTCCTGACCATGCTCAAAAGGTACAGCTGTTAAATCTTCAGCTCTGGCCTGAAGAACTTTTTGTGCTTTGACCATGTTCCTGGGAGTGTTCAAAGCCTGATCCAAACCATCCTAATGGACTCATATTCTCTCTTTTTGGGCATGCCAAAGACCCCCAACCCCTGCAGTCCCCCTGCTGGCATGGAGCTTGCACTCCTGTCTAGTTGACAAGGGATGGGCTGGCTCCAGTATAGCTGGTGCTGGGAGAGAACAGGCAGAACAGGCACCCAAGCTGCCCTTGTCTCACTGGCAGTAAAGACTCCCTCAAAGCTGTTTTCATTCTGGCTGCAGGAAGCGCAGCATGGAGGATGATGGGCCTTCAACCAGCACAGCTGTGAAGAAAGAGAAGAAGAGCACAGGCTTCGGGGACTTCAGCTCCTGGTAGCAGCATGGGGAGCCCAGCACTGGGGCAGCACAGCACAAACAGGAGCCTCCCACGTGGCCCCAGAGAGCCCAAAAGACAGTCTGTCCTGGGGAGGGAAGGCACCAGCCTGCCCTTCCACTGGCAGAGAAAACTGCTGCTTTGTTGAGGCTGGTTAATGTGGCTTTGTTTTCTAGAGAGCACATTCCCCCACTGCATCTTCCTCGAAGGCTGTTTTGTTGTTTTGCAAAGCAGGGAGCAGGCAGCCCAGCTCCCCAGGGATCAGCTGGAGCCTTTCTCTGCGTGGCTGGCAGCAGACCAGGCAGAGCCCAGCCTTGCAGGGCACTACTGCAGTGAACAGCTACAGTGGTGAAAGAGCTCCTTTTACAGGTAATCGTTCCCAGACCAGCCAAGTGTGCTAGGGGAGGGAATGAATTAATGTGCTGGGAGCTCCTGTACTGCTGGAGAGCTCTATGGAAGCGCTTCAGCCTGTCCTGCCCTTACCTTCCAGCTGCCTCCTGCTGGTTCTCAACAAGGACCAATTTTGTCTGGACTGACTGCTGTCATCTGAAGGGCCTTGCTCACTCCAAATGAGCTCTCTCTGTACCCGCTAAAGCCTCCAACAGCCTGGGAAGCTGCAAATCTACATGGGGAGCCCAGGGCAGCTGCACCACTTACTCCTCCCAGTGGCTGCCCTTCCCTGAGCCACTGGACAGCCAGAGGTGCCAGGATGCACCAGTTCACACCTCCCCTCAGGTGCCAGAAACTACAGCCTTGAGCAACTGAGCAGGAATAGAAACAATTCTTTTGTTTGTTTGTTTTAACACCCATCCCTAAAGCCTGGTCTTTGCAGGGTAAGGCACCCCCAATAGTCTGCTCTGATGTCAGGCTTCCCATCATTAGAAAAACCACATAATGTAGCTGACAGGCATCTCAGACATTTCCATTACATAACCACAAATTATTAAGAATCTTAATAAAGGCCTTATGGAGTAAAGATATATCAGCCTGTGAAGTTTTAATCCTAAAGAATCTATGTGTTACCATAATTTAGACATAGCAGGCTAGATCCTGAATATCACTTTTCAGTTCATCTTAGGTGTTTTCAGATAAGAGCAATGCCCTCTCTACCTCCTTTGTGGCTGAGGAGAAAATTTTGTAATCCCCTTTGGAACAATACATTTGTATCAGTGGTTTCATTCTTTAAGAAAATACTCCATTTATAGGAAATTGCTGTAAAAAGTTTTGGAAATATTTTGCATTAAATGCTTTTATTTTCTTTTGAGTGCTTGACTTTGACTGTTCAACAGTTATTTCCAAGATCACAGCATTGCAAACTTGATTGTTTTACAAGGAAATGATTCATTCCTGCTTTTTAAGATGCTCATAAGGAATTCTGGGATTTCTACGGATATGATTACATCTTTGTTAAATTATAGGAAGTTCAAACTAATTTGAAAGAATAATAGGGGGAGTTTGTTTTGCAAACGTCTGAGTTTGAAATAACACATGTTTGATTACTGGAATGGGGGAATTGATGGTACTTTCCTAAAGCGGAGTTTCTTTTGTTTTATTGGAACCTCTTGATGGCTGGCTCTTTCATGATAAATTGTTATTGATCCCCTTTACCTAACTCATACTTCAGCACACTTTTGAGTAGTCAAATTCACAGAATTGCTAGAGCTGGGATAGGTAATTTTATGAATCCATAAGGATAAAATTCTGGTTTTGTTCTAGATTAAAAGGGGGATTATTATGAAAGGAAGGAGATTTTGATCAGAAAGAAGGCAGCAGAGTTGTGGCAAGGGCTTCCATTTCAGCAAGTCCTTGCTGCAGATTGATCCAAGGGGCAGCAGGCTATAGATATAACTGCCCACTTTCCTGCTCTGTTCCAGCTTTTTAGCAGAGTTTACTGCAGTCCCTGAAGGACCACTGCTGTTTACAGTGCAGAGGGACTGCTGCCCTTCCAGGCATTGCCTTTGCACTGCCCCCTTGCTCACCATTTCCCACCACAACATTGGACACAAAAGAAAGAATGATTTCCTGGCTTCTAGGGAGGGCTGAGCATGACCCTTTCAGGTTTGCTCCAAGCAGGGGTGAAGCTTTTCCAGCCGTGGTTCACCTCTGGACCTGGATCCAGCTCTCTGGCCTGCTGGTACTCCCAGCTGCAGTCAGTGTCTCCCAGGCTGGGGGACACAGGCTCTGGCCCATCCCCAGGGTGCTGCAGTAGCCCAAGGGTTTGCCCAGTGCCTGGTGTTGAGTCAGCAGCCAGACACTCATGAGAGGCCAACACCATTCCACCACAGCCAGACCCTGCAGTGAAGTTTTGTCCTGCAGAGCCCTACCTCTGCTCCCTCCCACACCCCTAATTTTGTGTATTAAAATAAATTTATTTTTAATCTCAACTTCCCTTCCAGTCATTGGACTCCACAGGGCCAGTGTGATAAAAGGTCTTCTCTGAAAGATGGCAGGGACAGAAAGAGCAAGGCAGTGGGCTGTATCCCTCATTTTTCCAAAACTTGGCTCTTTGCAGGGTGACTTGCGGTTTCCACTACCTGAGCCAGGAAAGGGGAGGAAGGAGACTGTACTGAAGCCTTTTTTTCCCCTTTCATCACTTGGTTCTCCAGCAAAAACGGTGTGTTGAGGGACTACCCAGCCAGCTCCTATTATGGCCAGAGGGATCAGCAAGAATTGTGTAGCCTTACTTATAGGAACTTACTCCTGGGAACCACTGTGCTGTTTGTAAGCACATTTTTACATTCTTTGACATTTTTCCAGTAAATGTGCTTAGAGAGAAAAAGTAGGATTTTAACCAGGGGCTGAAGAAGCTTTTGTCTGGCCTTGACTAGAGCAACACCAGCCCTTTCATATTTTGCACTGCTCCATACCTGAGTTATTCTGCTGAAAGACACTGGGTGACCAGTGAATTCATTGTTTCCTGAGATCTGGCACGGTAATAGAGATGAAAACACCCTTGAGAAGGCTGTGGTGTGTGGTGGGGCTGGCAGCCAGGCCCAATTGTTTCCATACACAAAGAAGGGGCTCACGGGGGACTCAGCTCTTCACCTCTGCTGTTTCTGGCATGAATTCAGCCTGGCCTCTCAAGGAGTAAAGTATTGTCTGTGTGGGAAACAGCACAGATTGAACAGTTTTTCAAGCCAAGTAGCTGCAACTATGTTACCATATTTACCAAGAGAAAAAGCAAAAACTATTATTGTTTGGTTTAATTTTGCCTGTTCCCTGCTGGTTTGAATGGCTGCAGCCCAGGAGTTCAGACTACCAGTTGCTCTGCTTCAGCATCACATGGTTGATTCTGGTGGTTCCCATCTCATTTGGGACCACAAACTGAGAAGTCAAACTGTGTTTGAAGGTCTCCAAGGAAATCCTGCTTTTCCCTCCATCCCTTTTAAGACACAGCTGAGCCCTGCACTGGCTGAGTCCCCTCAGCTGTCGGTAGAGTCACAGGCATGGCCGTGGCCGCCCTGCAGGTGGAGGGAGCACCTGGCGGATAAACCACAGGGTTCTAAGTGTCAAATATTTCTGGGATCCCCCCGCCACCGATGGCCAGCAACGTCTGGAAGGAACAGGATGTCGGAAAGCTGGCACAGGAAGCATCTTTTATAAGCAAGGGGAAGGGATTTGCCAAAACACCCCCCAAGTTTCCACACTGTTTGCTTTGGAGGAGGCAAACAAACCCCCTCAGCCGGCGCAGGAAGAGGCGGCAGCGCCGGGCCCGGCCGGGTTACAGACGGCGGCGCGGCCGGGCAGCTCTCACTTCCTCTCTTTCTTTGGGAAGTGTATTTGCTATCACAGCCTTGTGGAGAATTAACCAGCCTGTGCTGGCACTGTGGGGACGGGGCCAGAGCCATGGCCCGGGAGGGACATTCCACAGAAGGGGCAAGCGGCTGTTCGGGACAGAGCTGGTGGTGGCGGGAGAGCTGAGGCCGCCCCTGCGCTGACGCCGTGTGGGGCTGGTGGCCTGCCGCCATTTTCTTCAGTGCCTGAGCCCTCAGCCCTGGGGCACCGGCCGTGGGGGCCGCGCACGGAGCTCCCTCGGCAGGACCGGCACTGACTCAGCCTCCGGGGAGCTCAGGCGCTGCAGCCCGGTGACTTCATTCTCTGGAAATAGCAACTGAGGAGGAACCATCTCTGTCACTACCGTACCCGTACAGACACTCAGCCAATAATGGCTCCTTGGCTAAAATGTATGTTCCAGAAAAGGCACCTGATTCCCTGCACGGGCTTCAAGGGAGAATGACTCCTGCAGTTCCCCTGGCTGGAAAGTAAAGCACAGCCATGGCAGCAGCTGGCTGGCTCAGGTAACAGGGGCCCTCTTATCACCAGTGGGTTGAGTGTTCTTGAGGTTTCTGCTGGGGCAGCACAGAGCAGCCCCTGATCATCCAAACTATGGTCCTGCCACAATGGCCAGGAATATTGGAGTTCCCATGCAGGCACCCTGGGGGTTTCCAGTCTGTGTTTTTCCCAGGGAACAGTGCAGGGACAGGACTTGTGGCACTGGGGCCAGTGTGAAGGGCTGGTCTGGGCACAAGGCAGGTGTCCCACAGGCACCAGTCCCTGCATCCACCTGCCTCGTCTCATCAGCCATGGCAGCCCTTTGCTGGCCACTGCAGGACAGGCTGGTAGGAGCTGCTGCTGCCAGCATGATGCCTCAACTGTGGTGAGAAAAACCCTCCCCAGCCCCACATCCCCAAGCTGGGGCAAGCCCATGGCACAGGGCCAGTACTTGCCCACTCTGGCATTGCTGTGGAGCTTTCAGAGGTTAAAGCATCTCTCCAGGCAGGTTTGGAGAAGGGCTTCACTGCATTGTGAGGGGCAGAGAAGGCACAGAGGGCTCCAGAAGGGGCTGGGATTGATCGATCTGACCAAGGGAGGAGAAAGCAGAGTGGGGATCAGGGCAGCATCCTAGACCCCTCTACCATTCCTGACATCTCAAAGACACAAAATTTTTCCTTTTATACAGAAAAAAAGTCTAATCAGCAATCACAGCAGGCTGCGTTTGACAGCTCATAACTTAATGGCTTTTAAAAAATAGCCACAGCCTGTTATAAACACTGGTCAAGGTCTCCTCTGCCCTTCCCCCTGGAAAGCCTTCCCAGCTCTCACTTTTCTGATATTAGATACTTTCCCTAATCTTTGGCCTTCATTTATTAATGGCTAATTATATCTATTTGCTTTAGTGCCAACATTGTCCTCTAGCTTGAATAGCTTTTTTGCCTCCCTAATGTTTGCTTCCCAACACTATTTATAGGCAGCAATTGTATCCCCCTGCAGCCACTGTTGTGTTTGGCTGCATGGGCTCTGGCCTCCTCAAACAGCCCTCCTGCCTCCCTCAGTGTCCCGTTCATGAGTGAAGGGGGTCAGACAGGCTCCCAGCCAGTGCCTGGCTCTGGGAGAAAGCAGTTTGCTGTCAGCACTGGCCACCATGCTTTTGGGACAGGAACCTGGGGGCAGAGCCATGTGTCCCTAGGGAGCCTTGTGGGGTTTTTTAGGCAGCCCCATGGGGTTATTTTTTTAGGCAAAGGCAGGAATTACTCCAGGCTCCTGTTTGCCTTCCCTGTCCCTCCTTCCACATTTCTGTGGGGGGGAGAGGAGCGCCCAGCAGCACAGGCCACCAAGGCAGTGCGAGAAGGCGTGTGATTCCTTGCTGCACTTTCATCCAGGGATGAAAGGGATGATAGAAAACATTTGTTTTTGTGATAAAAGCAATTGACCCGGGAGGAATCCGCCTCCCCAGGGTGGCCTGCAGCAAATCGCAGAGATAAGGTACAACAGGCAGCAAACACCAAGTGCTTCCAAGCCTCGGAGCAGCTGCAAAGCAAATCCCTCCCTTAGTGGAAGGAAACCCTCATGGGCTTACACAGCTGCTCCCAAGCCCAGACAGCATGGCCAGGGATGGTTTTAGTGGATTTTGTTGGGAGCAGGAAGGTCTGCAGAGGAGGATACTGTTTTGTTTATTTCCATAATGAATGGCTACATTTTTTTATTGGAGACATCTTCACCACAGATCTCAGCCGAGCTTTTAATAGATGGGTTCCTCGCCAGTGGCCATTGCAAATTGATTGCAGCAGAAATGGCAAGTGAAAACAAATATAGTGCAGGCTGCCTGGAGGGAGAGTGCGCGGAGGAAACTTCGGATGCTATTTTTGGTGTTTTGTCTCCACTGCTTACAGTGTTTCTAATCTTTGTTGTTTTTTTTTTTTTTTAATTTTGAGAGGTTAAAGAAAGTTCTGTTCTGTGGAGAAAGTGTTGGGTACCATGTCCATGCCCAGCTCTGTAGAGCTGCTGCATGCCATGGCCCAGGTTGGTCTGGCAGGAGGGTGAATTGGTGCTGCTGCTGCTGCCTCCATCCCCTCCCCTGGGACCAGAACCAGCCCTTGTCTCACTCCCAGGCGCTGTGCGGGGGCTGACATGGAGCTAATCCCTGATTTCACCCCGATCCATGGGAATCTTGTGGGGGGCAGGAAAGTACAGAATTTTGGCTCGTAAAGAAAGGAAATTCTCCCACACTGCTGAGCCATGGCTGCGCCACAGGGGCTGGCAGTAGCAGCCCCAGCAGTGATCTGCACTGCTCACGATCAACGCATTGAATTGCCCTTGGTCCCAGCCAGCTCCAGGAGCTGCAGCAGCTCCTGGACCACAGGGAGACCCAGGAGGGTGCTGCAGGGTCAAGCTGAAGTGCTTGACCTGGAGGGTGTCAGCTCAGGTGTGACCAAGAGTGTGTGTGCTGGAGTCCAACTGCAGGGAGACTGGGAGCAGGGCATGGAGAGTCAGGTTACTTGTCAGAGCAGGAAAACACTCCAAGTTACTGCTGGGCTTGAGGAGCCACAGCTGTGTGACACTGGAGTGCTGATGAAGGCTGATACCCTAACCTTCTTAGGCCCAGAGGATGGTCAGGATGTGGCTGCAGATTGAGGCACAGTCCCAGGACAAAAAGCAGAGGTGTCTCACGGACACATTGTGTCCATGGGTGTGAGATAAGGCTGTGGCTACTTAGAAGTAAAGGAGCAGAAATGCTCATAAAATGACAAACAAGGATGGGGAAAATCTTGGTTTACTACAGAATAGTGAAATAAAAGCAGTTCACAGCAGGACTGGCTGTGACCACACAGCCAGTGTCCATCTGGCAGTCTGGGGTGTTTGCAGCAACAGTTCAAGGGAGACCATCAGCATTTAGCAGCATTTTGGACCATGGGATGGGATTTATATGCTGCATAGGAGGCTTTCTGGTATGAGAAGCCCCAGATGTTCTTCTGCCATCTATTTAAACATCCTTATTTGTGCATGCCTGTTTCGCCTTGATTTGATCAAGCTGCAGTCTGTCATTCACTAAAAAATCTCTCAATTTCCCATCCTTGCCTTTAAATAAGGTAAAATGCCTCTCTCCACCAGCATGCTGGATGATGCTGGCATTGGAAGAAAGACAGCAAAAATGGGAAAAACAAGTTGTTTATCAGTGGCTCAGTCAGCGCTTTAGCAGAGGGCACCTGTGGCTCTGTCACACCTGGCCAGCCCAAGACTTGTACCCAGATGCTCAGCATTGTCCACCATAAGCCAGGGTGGGCTGTGGCTGCTGACCACCTCTGGGAAGAAAAATTTGGAAAAAACTATTTTTAAAACCTTTAAGAATGTTTTTAAGGCAGTCACTATCACCCACCTCTGATAATTCTGTACCAGCCACCTAGCCTGCAGTGCAGGACCAGGATCCCAGCGCCCCACAGTGCTGCCTATCCTGCCCCACTGGGCACCTCTGGAAAAACAGGCTGAGTGCCAAAGTAGGCACATACCCTGTGCCTGGGGTTTCCCAGCTGGGAAGGTTTTCAGCTGGCCTTGCTGGGGCTGGAATGTGCAGATGTACCAGGGAGAAGCACAGCAGTGCTTGGGAGCAGTCCAAGGTAAATGCATTTGGTGCCACACTCGTCTGCCCAGTTCCACCACTGGCACAGGCACTGGCTTGGAACTGCACCACTTCAGGGTGAGGCTGCTGACCAGACAAACTCCCTTTTTGGGGCTGCAGAGGTCTTAGGGACAGCACACGCCAGCTCAGCCCCCCCAGGAGGTTATTTCACAAGAAAAGGCAGCTTGTGGAGGAGGTTTTGTGGCTGGGGATCAAAGTCCCTGGCAGCCACCCAGATTCCCAGTATTTAGCTGTTGCACAGCCCGGGTCTGCAGCTGGGTTTGTGTGCCAGGCCGCGGCAGGAGGCGGCAGGGAGGGGGAGCCCAGGGCTTGCAGGGGGAGGAGGGCTCGGCTATCCCAGAGGTGAGATGCTGGGATCAGCCCTCTTGCCTCTCCCCAGGAAACATGGAAATGGGGGTTCAAGCCCCATGGCCACTCCTGGGAAGGGCAGGTGGGAGATAGGGATGCTTGGGAAAGGGGCTGACTGTGAACAGGATTCCCAGTGTCAGAAGTCACAGGGAAGCATGTTTTCTTTGTCCAGCAATGGAGGCATTGTGTCCAGGTCCTGCAGCACCCCAGCTAGTGGTACATGGCTGCACCTACCCTGTCCTATTTGCCAATGCCAGCCTCACCCTAAGCAATAGTCCTGCTTTCTCCATCCTGCTCCATATCTGTCAGTCCTGGCTGTTTCCCGGTCCCTGGTGCTCCCAGGGTCACAGCTGAATAAGCACATTTTTCATTGTCTTTGTGGCTTCAGACCTTGTGGTGCTCTGGGAGGTGGCAGGCAGGGACACAAGGAAGACGTCAACTGACTTTTACAGCTTTGATTAGTTAAGAGCATGTATTTACATAGTGAATAACCTGGAGGGTCACATTTTAAGACACTGATGTATTTCCCCCTCCCAGGCAAATAGCATGCTTATCCCCACTGGGTCTGCGGGGTGGGACGCAGAGCTCAGTTCCCTTGCCAGCCCCACTCCCAGTGCAGACAAGGAAACCAGTAACACCACCCACCCCACCTTGCCAGGGCTAATGTTCCTGGTTTCTCTTTTGCCTGTCACAGTGAGGCTTTTCCCAGGTCCAGCCTTGCAGGAGCGTAGTTGGTGCTCCCTCCCATTTCTGTCTCTGTTGGTTTTCCATTTCATCTGGCCATATTTCTGTAACCAGCTATTTGTGGGCGGTGGGTGAGGGGATGAGGGGAGGGGTGTCAGCTGCCACCTCACAGTGACTGTAAGTGGCAGCAAAGGGTTGGGTGTCACCCGCCATTGCAAGCCGGGGCTGAGGGAGCACGGATTGCCCTCACTATCGCGCCCACATCGCTGCCGGACATTGTCAGCAGACACTGAGTTGGCAAGAAACCAGGTTGGCACTTGCCACAAAAAAGAGTAGAGAGCTGTCAGGTTTGGGGCCAGGAGCTGTTCCTGCTGTATTATTATTGGCAACCTCTGTTATAAGGAAAAACAACAAAATCAAGAATAGATGT